TTCTTAAAAATATTAAATTTATTAATGTTTAGTCAAATGTCAGGGATAGTTCATTAGTATAATAATATAGTAGGAAATACCCAACGCTTTTTGAAAATGAAAAATATTTTTTTACGATACTAATTTATATTTTTGGGCTGTAGTTACTACTATTAACCTGGATCAATAGCTCCAACTCGAACAAAAATCAACTGTGTAGCTCCGCAAGGAAGATTTCTTATTCTTCTATTTATTTATTTTAAAATTAAGACTTGCTTAAAATCCCTATTTTTTGCTTTAATTAAACAATTGTTATCTTTGTGAACTATGTTATGAGTGCAATATACGAAAGGTAGACAGACGTACACAAAACAGTGTTTGGGTTTTAAACCCAAACCAACTAGTTGTTGGCCTCACATAACGGTCTTAAACCTTTCCTATGTCTATCAGTAACATTCTGTATTTAATATAATTTAAATGTACATAGATACGAAGAGTGAAAGTGTTAAGAAGTGTAAGGAAGAGGGATCAAATTATGTGTAGTTGGCATAATTGAAGCGTTAAAACGCCTCCAGAAAAAATAAAATAATTTTATTGCTCTGTCTGGATATAGGCCTGTATTTAAATGTATATGCACCTCCTTAGGTGCCATTGTTATTCTTATGTAACCTCTACGAATGTTTATTAAGGTATCATGTGTGATGACAGTCCTTCAGAACTGTCTCTTATCTATATATTTATACACGAGGAAAATGCTGTCATGTAAAAATATGAGTTCCTGTAGTTTTTCGTGGGAAAACTGTAGGAAGCCTAAATTATATAAATAGATAACAAACAATATTTACTACTGTTTTCTATATATAAATATGTGCAGCAACAGCTAAATAAAGCAACAAAAGCTTTTATTATAATATATGTAATTGTACTGAAAGTCTTAGACAAAGACGTTCAAGTTAAATACATTTAATTACTTAATATATATATAATTTGTAATCCCAATCTGTAAAAACATATACAATAAAAAGGTGTAAATAAAAAATTTAAAAGTTAATGCATTACTATCCAAATTCAGGTTGAATTTCGATCTCAGACAGCCGATCTCAAATACTTTAAATATACTTGATGTCATGTTTAAAAAAAGTCAAGTATACGTTTATCACTGTGCTTATTCTGAAACCTAAAGTGCTCTGCTGAGTTCAAGAATAACAACAATAATAACTTAATAAGCTTTACACACAGCCGCTTGATCCTAAACTAAGCACAGCCTCTACTATGTACACTACTATATTTCAAAATACAGAAATACATGTTTCTGAATACATACACATTATAGAAATACTCAGACACAGAGCAAAATTAAATCATCATCCTCAATACATAATCATACTCAATACATAGGCACGGTAGTATCTAAGCCGAGACGAGCCACGAGACAACTCCCACACTGTGTCGCGGGGGACTTTACAAACATACATGAAGCGGACACAAAGAACACCCAGACTCAGAACAATAATTTGTGTATCACACAAAGTGTCGTCCCATGTGGGGATCGGACCCACAGCACTCAGCGTAGTAGTGAGCGGCGTGGCGACCGCTTAAACCATTACGCTATCCGTGCAGTCAATGTTTTCTTGCAGCACTTCGTCGTTTTTTGAACCCTTATAACTTGGTTTTGAATTATACCAGATTAACAAAATTCTCGTCATGTGATGTCAATTGTAGACTTATTAAACACATAAAGTTCCAATAGTATAGCCTATATACTTTAGATTTTATTGATATCTAAAACCCAGATTTGGTAACTGACTCACTGATATTCAACAAAATTCTTAGGGTACTTCCTGACCTGCAGAAGACTCTACTCGGGGGTTGTGCTGTCAATGGCCCTTTATGGGGCCCCAGTATGGGCGGGGGCCCTGAAGGCCAGCAACGTCGCACTACTGCGATGACTGCAGCGAGTGCTGGCCATCAGGATCATAAGGGGGTACCGCACGATCTCGGCGAGTCTCCTGGCCGGAACTCCACCGTGGGACCTGGAGGCGAGAGCCCTTGCGGCTCTGTATCAGTGGCGCAAGGAGGCGCGGGAGTTGGGTCGGAGTCCTGGTACTCGAGAAATCGATGACCGGCAATCCCAGCTCCGCCGGGTCCTCGTAGGGGAGTGGAAGGAACGACTTAGGCAACCGAGCGCCGGGCACGCCGTCATCGCGGCTGCAAGACCCGTTATGGAGGATTGGCTCGAGATGCATCACGGGGCCATCTCATACCGACTGACGCAGGTGATCACTGGGAAAAGATGTTTCGGGTATCACCTGTGTCTGATCCGCAAAAAGCCAACGCTTGAGTGCCACCACTGCGATGGTCGGACCGTGGACACGGTGCTCCACACGCTGGCAGAATGCCCGGTGTGGGTGGAGCAGAGGCGAGACCTCGTGGCGGCCATCGGAGTGGGAGATCTCTCGCTCGATAACGTGATTGCGGCTATCGTGCGGAGTGAGAGTGTGTAGAACTATGCGTCTCCTTCTGCGAGAAAGTTATGCTTGCGAAGGAGATGGCGAAGCGGGACCTGGTGAGGTTTAGAACTCTCCCGGCCCGCCAGGCTCGGGAACGGGCCAGACGACTCAGGCGAGGGGAGGCCGCATAACGACCTCCGTCCTCCATAAGCGCAGGCCTGGGGGTGACGTGTGAGGCCATCTGTCACCCTAGCAGAAGCAGGCCGGGGTGGCGGCGAGCGCGTTGCGAAACGCGCGTGCCCCTGCGGGAGCACAGAGGGAATATGGGGGTTCCCATACAGGGGGTCGTCTGTCCGCCGTAGATGGCCCGAGGTACGTCGGAGCACCAGGGATTTCCTTTCTAGGTTACACCTGGTTCCCCAACTACTGGTACCTGACACGGCGTGCGGTTTTAATCGGTTCGAGTCCGACATTGCCACCGGTATGTGGTATCCGAGGGCATATCCGCACAGAAAAAAAAGGGTACTTCCTGAAGTCCCAGAAAGCTGAAATTTGTTATGAAAGCTATTAATACTACACAAACAAAAAAAAACTTTTGACTTTTACCCCCCAAGCCCTTAAACTAGGGAATGGAAGGTTTGAAAATTGATATAGAGCCTCCTTGTTATAAATAATGTCATAAGCAACTTACAAAAAGAAGTGAAATATAACCAAAAACATTTTCATGTAAAATGTTGCCAAGACGAGACCATATGACTATCACTTTCTAAAAGTTATCAGATCTCAAGCTAATCCTCTAATTATCCACTCGCTAACTTTACAAACTCTATATCTTAGTCAAAATATGTGGTTCGGCCGTTTTGCTACCGTCACACTGGCGTAAGGGAAAATTTTATTTCACTACCATCACATGGCCCTAAGATAAAAAAAATATTCACTGTTCATTACTTTTCTTTTACACAATAGTTCTTGTAGTAAAGAAACGGCCAACTTGTAGAGTTAGGACGTGTAGAGTTACAAGCTTGGCTCTACATGAGATCTGATAACTTTTAGATAGTGCGAGTCATATGTTTTCATATTGGCAACATTTTATATGAAAATATTTTTGGTGGTACAATTTTTCCTGGGTGTCGGGAATCGAGCTCACGATTTTTGGCTTAGCCTGCTGCTAATCACTAGACCAACGGGCCGGTCAATGATATATTTTATTGCGCGGGAAAACTTTGTAATACTTAAGCTGAAGGCTATTACTCAATGCAACGAATCCTCAATTACTGAAAATCACAATAGTACAATGTCATGCTTAGTAAGATTCTTGAACAAGGTAATAAGACATGGATGCGAAAAAAAGAAGTTAAAAAATACAAAAAAAAAACAGAATAGAAAATATTTTATTTTAGAATAGCGTGGGATGCTTTTTAGTATATTTTTATATTAACCGTATTATTATAAATAGCAACCAATTAATTATTTATAACATTTGAGGTCAATAAACACGCTTTCTATAATAAATATTATGTTCTACTTTTTATTTCGGTTTTCTATTAAATCGTTATAATTTACTATTTCACTTTCTTCATCTCAAGAATCGGTCATTATCATCACATATCAAATTTAAACTCAATTATACGACTTCAAATTGATGAATACTGCGTTGAAATATTTTTTTACATAGATAGATACAGGTCAAGCTAATACAAAGTAGGGAAAGTGGTACTTATCTATGCTTAAACCATGGCACACTCAAACTCTTGAGACGGGCTTTTTAATGAAAATATAATAAATAAATAATAATAATAAGCCCACGACGGTACTTACGATAGTACGAATTGTGACTGACCGGTTAATCTAGTGATCAGTGACCCTGACTGCTAAGCCAGAGGTCGTGGGTTCGATTCCCACCCAGGACAAATACTGTGTGATGAGCACAATCGTTTGTTCTATGTATGAGTATAATTTTTCTGTAACAATGTATGTATTTTAAAATATATATGTATGGTAAACAGCAATCTGGTAACCATAGTACAGGATCTGCCTAGTTTGCGACTAGACTGCCGTATGTGAGATGTGTGAAGTTATTATTATATTTAAAAAAGAGTAAATATCATGGATTTATTTCCCAGTTGCCTTTAAATCAACATGGCAACATAGTCCACAATGTCATTCCAAAAATTTCATTTGAATTTCGAACGGTACGTTCAAAACTGAGAACAATTAATTTTCAAGGGCGTTTCTGTGACACAAAGTACAATACTTTTTATTTTTTTTGAAATTCTTCGTTGTGAAAGTAATAAAGCCTACTGGGGTATTATTAAATATAATGTAATTTAAATATTTAGCTGATGGGTATACCACAACGTTATGCTGAAATGATTATTGTTTAACTAATAGGAGAATTTGTTAAATCACGCCTAAGTCCTACCGGTTCGGGTGCGCGTGAGCAGGCGAAGAAAAGGCGCGCGCGGCGCCAATGTTCGTCAGTCTCGCCAGGGTCGCCACAGGGGTCGGACCACTAGTCTAGTCATTAAAACCTTTTTAAAATAATTAAAATTTTGTAATCTAAAGGCCATCATGAAAGTGTTCATCGTACTAACAGCAATCACTGCGTTAGCGAGTAAGTTTATGTGTATTTCTGTAATTTATAAAAAAATTCAGTAACTTAAGCTACTTGTTTTTAAGTTACATATAAGTCGAAGTGTAACTATTCACATTAATTTAGGTTTTAGTTTACGATTGACAACGAAAATGTTATTTTGTAACATAGTATATGTGTGTCACTTCTATTTTGAGTTACACAAATGAAGCCACGTTGCTCTACATAACTAGATAACATTAATCAATACAAAAGACACCAACGCGTTCGGTTTTACGTTACTTTATTAAAATAATATAAAAGTTTAGAATTAAAACACCTGAACAACATTATTTAAGGGTTCTTTGTTATAAATTGTCATTGGAATGTTTACTATGAAACTATTGATATAGACACTACAATCCTTTAATTGTCAATTTGACATAATGTAATCAAATTCTTGTTTAGTTGACCACGTAACGACAACTAGTGAAGCTAAGTAACGATTGTGAAAATATTACACAATTATCTGCTGATCCACCTTATTTTAGCTCACGTAATTATACTAAGCATGAAATTATAAAGCTTTTGTTATATGCAAAGTAAATATTTGCATATACATTGCAATGAAAAAGATTTTATTTTACGTACTGACAATGCTTTGAGAGTTATAAGCTCAATTTTAGCTTTAAAATATACTTTTGTCAAATCTCTTAGAATATAATTTAAAAATTATATATATATATATATATCTATTATGGATTTTTTTTACTTACTTGAAGGGAATTGTGAACTAGAAACTAAATCCTTTGATGATCAATGATTTAACACTTAACCCTTTACAACTTATTTATTTTTGTATGTAAACCCGTTGAACCCTTTTCTGTGTATGCATTTTAGTTTCATATTTTTAATGTGATTTGGAATAAAAAAAATGTTTTTGTAAATACATTAACAATGAATCTAACTTTGAACACTCGATGCAGAAGAGTATCAGATGGCATTCTATTCCATTTGGCATACTGAGATTTTTATGAATCCTATACATGGTAAAATAGTTACACGAGCTTAACAAGTGATGTTATGACACTTAAAGAGTGGTTATAATTTCTATGGTAGCTCGTTTGTAAAAGTGTACAAGAACAATTGAATTAATTCTGGTAATTTAAAATTTCCTTGCAAGCTTTTGGAACGAGGACAGCTTTCTGGCAGGGTCACTAACAGTTGCAAAACAAAGTTTAACTTTACTTTGAAAATATTTACGGATCCGAAAGAATAGTCACTTTTCAACAATACCCTCTAATTGACGGGAATCTAGAAGAGTGGTCCAAATTACCGACTACTTTTCGGTTTTTTTTTTATCAAAGACCACAGACATACTCGTAGACACTATATACCATAAACTTATTAACTACAGTCGAACAAAAAGTTCAAACGTTAATTATTCAAGAAAATGAAATGTATGTAGAAACCAGAATGAAAATTGACAAATTAGTCAAAAAGTAGTAGTGGTCAAAAACAATAGTTTTAAATAGCCAATTGGTTTCAAACATATTAGCTGTGGCGTAATTTGTTTCAAAATTATTTCTGTGTCAGTGTTCAGTTATTAAGAAATGTTGTGATATACGAAACGTTTCAAAAACTCTTTACATAATAATTGTACAGGGTGTTACAGAATCTCAATCGCAAATGTTGTAAATTTCACACTATTTTTCATGAGCAATTTGAAATGTATGTTTTTCTAGTTCATCAAATTTCTAATCAATGTCCCACTTTCTTTATTTCATTGTTTTTTTTTTCATTTAAATATAGAAAACATGTTACTGTTTACACGACGATGATAGATCTAGTTATTCAAGACACGCACTTCGTGTCTGATTTTCTCATGATCGTATTCAATGAAGCGCTTTGTTTGCATTTTAAAACTTACACTAATTATTACTAATTATGACGACCGGATAGTGTAGTGGGTTGTGTAACGGACTGCTATTCCAAAGGTCGCGGGTTCGATTCCCGCTCAAGTCTAACATTTGTGTGCATGAACATTTAATGTTTGATTTGGTCTGGGTGTTTCTATGTATAATATGTATGTATTTACAAAAAAAAAGTATATATGTATTTATATCAGTTGTCTAGTACCCATAGTACAAGCTCTGCTTAGTTTGGGACTAGATGGCGTTGTTTGAATGTGATAGAATATTATTATTATTAATTAGGAAACCAGCCATTTACGAGTACCTTAAACGAACCAATATTCATTGCGCGTAGATTTTCATAAGCTTTTGTGTCCTTTTTGCACTTTTATGTAAATAACAAAACAACTTATTTTATTGGGATTGGATTTAGATACTAATTAAGTAATAATTTTACTCTATCAATAATATAAATCCTAATAAATTATTCACGTTATGAGTTTGGGGTACAACATATTCACATTTCTTAAATGTACGTATTTTTGCATCTATCTGTAAGATAGAGACCTTTGGTCGCCTAGCATGAGACTAAAGAGGTTCTAAGTTCATTATTGTCAACTGTTTAATACGCCTCTGCTTGGCCTTTTAGTAATATAATCGTTAGTGTACGTATTTATGTATTCTGTATGCATTTACATAAATTAACAATTTCGAAATTCACAAAACAGTAAACACAAATTCACAGTCCCTTACACAAACCAATAAACCTCCTTTGTGATACCCTGCTTTCGTCACATTGTCATTTCATCACCAAGCCATGACATATCTATTTAAAATTAAGGTTTAATATAGTTAAGGCTCAGATGGCGTTACGTAAATGCATGTACATATAGTATAGTACAAATATTATATAGTACAAATATTATCAATTTATATTATTCAGCCACAAATTACAAAATTAGAATGTAAAGGTATATTTATATTGATTTATTAACATTTTGATGGAGTTTTAATCAACTTTTTGTGACGAACACTTTAAGTGATTGCTAAAATTCGTAAGCCTAGTAATATTTATGAAATTTTTTGATGTAAAATGTAGATATCAACTTTTAATACCAAAAAAATATATTTGCACTTTTTTTATTTATAGACGAGAAAGGACACAGAACAGAGAAAGGAACAGACTGATGTACAGAATTACAGACAGACGGACAACAAAATGAATCTATAAGAGTTCCGTTTTTTCCTTTTGGAGGCGGAACCCTTAAAACTGTATGTTGTTCGTGGATTTGTTTATTCCTTTCTTCACATAAATAAAAAGTACCATTAAAAGCATTCATAAGTAAGTTTATAAACTACATTAAAATAACCAATAAATTTTTACAAGAAAGTTTTTTCCATTATCTATAGCGAAATAGATAGGTATCATTAAAATAAAATTCGCAATAGGCTTACCGTCAAGTGGTTTTGTTGAAATATGACATTGACATTCGCCGGCTCCACATTTTTTGCTTCCTTAGTATAAATAGAAACATTATTTTCTATCAACAATTGCATTGCGCTATTGACACCGTACATAAATTTACGTAAACCGTGTCTTTTGTAACCAATAGAGTAGAAAGTAGATATCTGAATAGTTGAAGTAAAAGTTTGGCTGTTTAAATAAATGTAAGTAGTTCCGATAGTTCCGTTTTTGACATTAAACCAAATTTGAATAAGTATGGAACTTGTGATACTACTTACATACATTTATACTACCTACAATGGCCAGAGAAATGGAAAAAGACATGTCTTTTTCAATTCGTCTGGCCCTTTTGCTTTATGTTGGAGCAGTAATGTGTAATACAAAATGCATACTTTTCTTACGCCTTATTCCCGGCCTTAGACAAAGGTGGTACTATTTACCCTGGTCTATAACTTTCACCTCTTCCATATTCATCTGATCTTTTGTAGCTGGTTTTGGGTACTTTTAGATCCTACTCGCACCGACTTGAACACTCACAAAGGCCTTTAAAACTTCTTTAAATATACAATCTTCACTCATCCTTTCAACATTATTGGGTTTTGTATTAAAATAATCATATCTTAATTTTTCATTTTTACTTATCATGGCGCTCGACTTTTTCATTTCTTAAGCAAACATTATTTGTTAACAAATTACCCTGTTTAAGGTAATTAGATAATTTGATGATAAAATTAAATTAATTATTGTGAGATATCACACACTAAAATCCACAATTTATACGATATTAATGTAAATTTCTACTAAACACTGTTTATGTATGTAAATTAAATATGTAGGTAATTTTTTTTACTTTTTTTGCATCACATTAAACTAATTCCATTTTTGTTACACTAAAGTAGACATGGCCTTGATAATAAATTCAGAAATATATTTTTCTTTGACCTGTATTTTGTAATTCCTTTTTTTTGGCTTTATATCGCTACTGTGTTTAATTGTTAAATAATTATAAAAGTAGTTGCATCAAAAACATTTCACTACTTTGTTTGTCTATAAATAAAAAAGTTGAAATCTACATTTTATATCAAAAATTTCATAATTATTACTAAGCTTACGAATTTTAGCAATCACTTAAAGTGTTGCTTTTTTAAAGTGTTTATTAATCATTATTACTACCTTTTACTTCTAGTTAAAATGTACTTCCTAAAATCAAAATTAAAGCAAAATCTTGTAGCAATTGATTGTCCGACTTAACAAAAGAGATGTTTACAATTGTCACTTAATTAGTATAAGGAACAATTGTTGTACAACTAAATATGGAATTATTATAACCAAATAATACCTATAATCATGTTCACGTTCATACTCTTAAACAGGTTCTTGTTATTTTTGGATTCCAGTCACTGAAGAAAACGTGACGCCGATCCACATCCGTGTTCTAAATAAATTTATTTTTTCTTTAGCCTGTAATAAATATTAATATGTAAGAGAAGTATCGCAATTCCGTAAGCGACACCCGTAGTCGATCTGAGATTTTCAAAATAAATCTTCTAGTATTTGTTTCTTAGACAGCAATACACTAATTAATTTGGAACCGATAAAACTATTTAATAAATATGGTTATGATTGAAGCTATAAATCATTGTAAATATTAAGCATATTAATAGAAAGGTAATCAAAATATTTCACTACTTTGATATATTAATTTATCTCAATAGTTGGTTATTATTGTATGTGCGTTTTTAAGCTTAAGAACCAAAGAAATTTATTTGCTCCTTTGGTGTCATCGGCATGTTATTTGCCAGTTTGTTTGCCAAGTATGCCCGGTCATCTTGGAGCTTTGGTACAAAGTAAACATACAATATTCTTCTTAAATTCAGTTTTGAATTCATTTAGTTAACATTTTTATTCTCGTATATACTTCTATTTAAATCTCTTAATTTATTAGCAGAATATTTCCTGAATATATCTCAGCTTTTACATTTTATATAATTATATCTCATCTCCCTCTTCATAATTTAGTAGTTACTTGGTTTTCAACTTACTAAATTCAGTTGAAAGCTTAAACTAAATAGTGATGTGTTTTTTCAATTTAATGTACTTGAAATGAAATGCAAAGGTATGTTCATAAATGAAAAACATGTTTAGTTTAGTTTCCCTGTGTATCAATTTTATTGAGTTTATTTATTTGAATTGTAAATGTGCAGTAAAGCATAAGTTTATTTATATGCTGACAGCTCCCATAATGAAATTGTTGTCGACTATAATAATTTAATTAATTGCATGTCCAGATTTCTAATGTATAACAAATGTATACATATGTGTCTTTGTATTTATTTATGTTCAGTTCATATTGTTTATCATCATCATCTCAACCGAAAGACGTCCACTGATGGACATAGGCCTCCCCGAAGGTTTGCCATAACAACCGGTCCTGTGTATCCATATTGTTTATATTCCATTCTTTAAAGTACTCCTCATTCCGTTAGAGAGTGGCAGATGATTTATTACAGAACAAACATTTAAACAGTCAATAGAATCTGATGATAGGTCGGTGTGATTTCGACCCCTGATGCATCGAGCGATGCACTGGTGTCGCAACTCGACTCACTTTCACTTCGCGTTGCGTCAGATGCCGAGTGGCGCGCAACGCCTCCGTCAATAATCATATGTTACATTATCATCTTATAACCTTTAGTCTATACGTACTTGTTGTAAAATAATATGAACGCATATACACGGTTTCATTTGAAAAAACTCGCACTATTTTTAGTTACAAACTATTACACCTTAAGGTCTATACCATAGCGTTTATGCATATACAGTACAAGCTCGTATATGTCGTATATGATGTTAGCCTTACATAGCTTTTTCAATTAATAATCTCTGCAATATAAAAAGGATTTTTCGAATTTGACCAAAAGATGCAGAGATTGGTTTGTTGAAAGAAACAAAAAAGCTATTCAGTTTCTTGTAGTAGTACAGAACCTAATCTCAATTTGATCTCTAACTGTACATGAAATTTTTATTTCCACTAAGAAGATAAATAAACGTACTCATAAGTCACTTTGTGATGATTCGTTATGGCTTAACCTACCTACTTATGTTTTGAAATCGTGATTATATACATAGGTCTATATTAGAAAGGATAGTCCACAAAAATAGATCTTTTGAATAATTCACACATTAATGAGACCCAACCTTGACTTTACTAATCTTCAAGTTGCATAGTAATGACCTTTTAATGTCAAACGTTGATTTTAATATTTATGTAAATTGGACGCAAGTTTTATCTACATATTTAAATTATACATAACACACACACTAAAAAGTTAATTCGTCTCTTTTTTTGTGATAGCCGTTATAAATAGTTGTTTTTATTTCAAGTTGTGACATCTTTAAAGTTAATTCAAAAAATATGTTTAGAATTAGGGGAACAACAATGTGTCCTACCAAAGTTTGAAGAAAAACGCTTTCAGAGTCGAGTACCTAAAACAATGATAATAATAACTCGACACGTGACACATACAGACTCTGTGTAGCTTTCATTAGATGGTCATCTGATAAAAACTAAACAGTCTGTATTAAATACATACTTTTAAATACATGCACACAGAACAAGTGATTTGCTTTCTTAGCACTTAACAAGCTGTCGTTAATCACAAAATATATAATAAATAACAATATCAAAGTTTATCCCTAACATGTATTTGTATCAATCGAGTGAGGAACTAAGGACAACTCTGATTGTAACACATTGGTGACGCTTGAATGTGTGCCAACAGTTCTTATGTAATATTACGCACTTATGTAACAAAAAACTCGATCTGTCCTACTCTTAGTTCGAAAAGGAAAAACAACTTTACCTAAATACGCTTTCTAACCGGTTAGATTTTTTGTCAGACCTGATATACCGGAATTATTAATGTCATGTAGAAATAACTTTTTATTTTAAATAAAAATATGATTAATTATCAAACTTCTTTTTATTTTGTTAGTAGTAACACTTTTAAAAAAATAAATGCGCGTGAGTAAATTTGTAAAAATACTTTATATTTGATGTCTCCATGTTATTTCTTTACAAATAAACACGAACGATATAATTACATCTATCAACTTTAAGTTATCCAAATTGAGCGAAATTTGCGATTTCAGACATAAATAATTATCTTAACGTCATATTAATGAGGTTTTCAAAATCACAATGCAACGAAATGTTTGTGTTAAGAGCTATAAAGTCGCTTACATATCTAAAAAGAAAGATACTTACATATATGTATGTATGAGATAATATCATACTTCATGCAAAGAACAAACCCATCAATGATACAGATAGTTATGTGACGTGATAGATAATTAGAAAACAAAATATTTATTTATTCTTTCTTTTCCAGGTGCAGAAAATTTCAAATGCCCTGCAAAAGACGGCCAATATGAAGATCCCGTCCAGTGCGACAAGTTCTATGAATGTCGCGATGGTATTGCGACCACTAAGCTGTGCCCCGACGGTCTAATGTTCGACCCCACTATCAGGAAGATTAACAAGTGTGACCAGCCCTTCAACGTCGACTGCGGTGACAGGAATGAACTTCGTAAGTAAATAATGTAGCATATTATTTTAAACATACACGTAGGAAAGAGCTTAATCAATAAATTTCAAAAATATAATCAATAGTTCTATACATGGCTCGACGTTATCGTATATATGTTCTTGATCAAATCTGACAAGAACTTGCCGCTTTGTAGGTCCCCTTGCGGGAGTTTAAAAAGGGGCAATCACCTCAGAATTAGTAGTAGTTGTAGATAACTTAGTGAAAGGAGTTAACCTGTTTTAGTATTTTAGTAATAATTAACAAAGCTGTGTCAAGAGTTTGTAGAGAATTATGTGAACCTTCCACACCACAACATCAGGTCTCTATTGAAAATTGTTACTGCAACTATAGTTTAATTTTTATTAAATACGTATCTAATGAAATCCGTCTAGTATATAATTTTGTGTGACACTTGTATTTTAAATTACAAAAACAATTAATTTCGTAGTGCTAAATACTACATCATTAATATAGGATATAAGTTAGGTATTTAAAATGATATTATTCATTAACAATGCATAGATCGAATGCCTTGAGTTCGTTCACTACAATTTCTGTAAAGTGAAGGTATCCTGCCTACCTCTGACCGGCTAGGTCAGTGGTCAGTCCAGCGACTTTCTAGGCCAACTTGTACACGTGACTGATTTTTTAAAGCTGTACAATAAATGTTATAATTCTAAGACTTATAGTCTAGAGTCAAATATGGAAGCAAGGAAGCACGTGTTAATGTTAGTAGGTACATTTAAACATCGATAGAAATAAAACTTATAGTGTAACTAGAATAAATGATAAGGTAGATTATTTATAAAATCAAAGAAAAGAAAAATCGTAATATCATATAAAATCATGAAATAAATAAATATTAATCAACTTATAAATAATAGTCTATTAGATTTTTTAGGTCTTCAGCGACTCTCTTTTATAGTTTCTTTTACTTGTAAAGGATCCTGAGATTGGTATTTTATAATTACGACAAATATACGCAGTTTCATTGAAGTCTCGCCATAAAATGTACATATAAAGTCTGTGTTTATTGTACATAGGCGTGTGGAATGCAATGACTAAATGTTCGTGTCTTGGGTTTTAAGTGCAAAGTTACTACACACTGAGTTCATACGCCCCTGAGGACCTCTCTGTAGCAGTGTTATTTCAATAATTGATAGCCATAATTGCAAATAATTGCAAAGAGGCCATACTATGGCCTGAAAGTACGCGATTTCTATTACACATGTATTTTTTTCCTAACTAGCCAATAAAAAAATAATTCTGTAGAAAACTCTACCGTCTTGACTTTTTTAATGATTTCTATAAACAAGTTTCCCTAGATTCATCTCAGTCATTGGAGTAATATAAAATATAATATTTTGGTTTTTATTCAATGCATTGCAATAACATTGGATTCGTTTAAGAATTTTTTGTATCCGATTCTGCCTGGGTTCTCAAAAAAAACATTCCGATTGATGGATAAAAACAGAACCAAGATAAACCACAAGAATAAAATTTAATAATAATTATTAATATGGAGCGAAAGAGACTGTATCGAATTAATTTCCTCATTGATGGAATGCAGCTGTCATTTCCGATACTTAACAAAGAAGCAAGGTTAAACCGTGCCCAGATATTTCTAGTCGGAAAAGTAGCAATACCAGTTTCGATAAATAATTCCATTTTTTAAAAGCAGTTTTCAATGAACGACGTTTTGTCTTATGTCAGGGGTCATAGTAATTTATATTGAGATGTGCAATGGCTTAAGTTATGTATCCTTCATGAAACGCAATAGGTCAACTCACACATAAAGTATTTTCAAAATTTATGTTAAATTAGAAAGATGAGATGTGAGTTCCTTACGTACAACATAGGCTTTAATGGTTGACATGGTGACATTTCAGTAGGAATGCAATTATGTTCGGATGTCTCAATTTGCTTGGAATATTATTTCCATATAAAAGCTTCGGCCTTAAGTAGCAGGTCTAGAGAGTTTAAAGGATCAAAATGTTTTTTTTTATTTTTTATTAAACCAACCCTTAATGGGAGAATGCCACAAAAGGGTCTAAAGATGAATTTATTCTGCATTTGTAAATTATAGCCAACTTATTATCGCTTTCACGCGCCTTAAAAACTAGTTTCGAATGGTAGGGCAGATTGACCGAATCGGAACCACCTGTTTGCTGAATACCTTACTCACAGTACAACTATATTATTATAGCTATATTTGGCTATTATTAATGTTGTATTTTATATAAAACATTTTCCTCCAGAACCTGCCAAGGCCAACACCCAATGCCCCCGCCGCAACGGTTTCTTCGCTCACCCTGACCCGAGTGTGTGCAACATCTTCTACAACTGCATTGAAGGAGAGCCTGTTGAGGTCAAATGTACCGCTGGACTCCACTTCGACGAATACTCTGGCACTTGCGTGTGGCCCGACACTGTAGGCAGACAGGGATGCCAAGCCCAGGATAGTGAGTATAGTTGTTAAATATGTATGTTAACTATAACTACTACACTTCTAAAAAATCTCATTCAATATTACTTAAGCCCGCGTATCTTCCGGGCCACATCACAATAATTTTCTATCTCATTGGAGAGATTCTTACTCTTTTTATAGGGTAGGATGGGGTAAAACAAAAAAAAAAAACTTAACAACTTCTTCCAAAAAATTTAGGATAGTTAAAATATTTCATAATTTGTTGCCTTCTAAGCAACACTGATGCTTGTGCACTGATATTGATTTGAAACCAATCTTAAGTGGAATACCTGAGTGCACGTGCTACGAGACCACGATCGAGACTTACTGCGTTGTTGCATTGTAAATAATAGATTTATTAACAATTTCATTTTCCACTATTATCATTTTTTTTTTGAAAAAGCAGTTTTTACTAGAAAGTAGATAGTGGATTTGAACTTAAACTTTCATTTATATATCATCATACTTTGTTAGTGAAATTTAAAGGTATATAAAGGTGATATTTATCTTTTAACTATTTGTCGTGTATATATGTAAATGAAGAAACTGACAGACTGTTTCACTGACTCACCGATTAACGCACAGGTGAAACCGGTGTATTTACATAAATAATTATATGAATCTAAACATTCCAGAAAAAACCAAGGATGGTTTCGAATGCCCCAAGGAACAGCAAGTAAATCAACAAGGCCAGATTGTCGCCCACCCTAAGTTTGCCCACCCTACTGACTGCCAACGGTTCTACGTATGCCTAAACGGCGCCGAGCCCCGTGACCTTGGTTGCATGGTCGGAGAGGTCTACAATGAGGAGACACAGAGGTGTGATGCGCCCGAGAATGTGCGCGGATGGTGAGTTTTGATCTTCGTATGTCTCTAAAGAGGTAGTCTCTGGAGTTGTTTGTAACCATTTACGAGTATGTGTAAGGAAGAACAATAAATATTATTGTTACAATAATACTTGTACACCTAACATGGTGAATTGTGATAGATAGTACGTATTAACTATAACGTAAGATTTCCTACATTGTCTACTTTGTATCAAACATAAATGCATAATAGTTTTAATCAAATACCGGTTCCATTACTATATTTTAATAATATCGTGTTTAAAACACGAAATAATTAATATTATTATGTCCAATATCCCGAATCATTGAAATATATAGTTATAAATGTTTGACAAACACATGTTTAAATTATTATTTTTGTTTACAGCGAGGACTGGTACAAAGACTCAGAGGAGGCCGCGCCCGCGCTCAAATCGAGAAATTAAGCCTCTATAGTGATATGATACCATAGTTGTATGTTAAGACTTAATAAGTTAAATACATAATAAGTTTAAAACAATGTTGTTGTTTCTTTTTCTATATTTAAAACAGTATACGAACTTTTTAAGTAAAAGGTAAGAAATTTGTAATAGAGTAGTATTTAGGTAACCTCGTAATTTCTGAAGTGACCATTGTTCAACGTGACTTGATATTGTGAATATTTATAGTCAATTACAATAAATTCCAAAAGTCATATTAAGTTTGCATAACTTCTCTATTTTATACAAATATGATGACCGATTTATTTTTCAAAGTTAGTCACTAATCTCAATTTATATTTCAAAGCAAGTTTAATAGAATTACTAGATAGATGATAAGATAGTCTCAAAGTTCAGTTAATATTTGTACGAATAAGGTCTTAAGAGGATACTTACTCAACCAATGAAACTTAATTAATTTGCTTTGTTTGAACTCTAAATTAAATTTTTAAAGTGAAAACTTTTTTAGGCGCGTTGGGCATTTTTGAACAACAAACAAAAGAATATATTTTTGAGATGGAAAAAAACCATTAAACTTGCGACACTGTTACCGTTACCTCTGTATATAAGTATCTACATACATATATGGGCCCGTTTACACGAGAGTTGAAATACTTTGAAAATATTACTATTCAGAGTGTAAGTGAGTCGAAAATCATTGGAATTTTCTGCCAGAAAATGAAACTTTTTATACAATCAGCTGTCAAAGGTAAAGGTAATTCCCCGTAGGTAACGCATAAAAGTAATAACTACACGTGTATTCCGTGCAAATAGTTTACGTACACTACCACAAGTTAACGGCGGCACCAAGCGCTTTGGTTGTTTGATTAATTACATTGCAGTTTTTGACCGAATGCGGTATTTGTTAATTTGTTTCGGAGAAATGTTCCGTTTACTTATTGTGATATCATTTTTATCCAAAAAAAATAAAATAAAAAGCGATGAATTTTCCGGCCGAAAATTCCTATGATTTTCGACTCAGAATCATTGTCTGAATATAATATTTCAGTATTCGTTACGATGCCCCTTACACCTTGTATATAATACAAACATATATTGCATTTACACGTACAACATAGATACATATTCATGTCATTAAAAAAAAATAGAACAACAAAATTTAACCCAAAACCAAATCAACATCATCATCAACAGCCTTTAGTACTCCATTTGCTGGAAATAGGCTTCTCCTTAGAGAGGAGGTTTTGGCCTACTATACCATGCTGGCCAGACGGGTTGGTGTAGGGTTTGTGCTGTTGTCCTGCGTAGTATACTCCTTTAGCCGATTCTTAACCTAAGGGATGAACAGGAGTGGTGAAACTCCGTATTCTTAATCCGTCACCACAAGGAGAGTTTTCAGAAAATTAGTTATTCATTTTATTTCTTCAATACGCAATACTGCTTCATGAGTCAAGCAATTTTTTTACTAAAATCTGGGTAATAAAGATTTGACTTGACTTAACTTTCACTCTGAAACAAAGCCGCGTGTAATCTTTGTGTAATCTTGGGTAATCTTTGTGCTCAGAGATAAGTTTATTTAATTTAACAACTTTCTACTCTACGAATAACTCTCTTCTACGGATACTAATAAACTCTGTTTGCAGTATTTTCAAAGTTGCAAATAAGATACTTTTTTACACTAACCCAAAATGAAAAATGGTTTCCTTTTTCAAACAATGAATCAATTACTTATTATGTATGAGACGCAAATGTACAGGTATACTTATTCATTTGACACAGTATATTATTACATAATAACTCGTTGGAATATTAGTTAAATTTATTTGACATTCAAAACTAATTTCTTATTTGTCGAATACATAAAATGCTATTTATGCTAATCTTAACTCTGTCACCTTATAAAAAACTAAGGTCATTTATAAGATGCATGTAGTAATTATTGTTAGTTATAAACGCTACAAACGAAAATCCTAGGTTTATAAACTTTAATAAGATAAAACGAAGTATCATCTAAAGAATAAATAAATGGGTGTGTTACTGATAACATCGTAGACGAAGGTTGTGGCGTGCGTCAAACTCGTCAGCGAGTGGCGTCGCAGTCGGGGCTTTATTTATTTTATCCATGACTAAATTGTTGTTCTTCTTTGTTAGAAACTTGAACAAATTCAATTTTAAAATGCTTCAATAAGACAGTTAAACAATGGTGCTAATTCTGTTGTTCGAAAACTCTTCTGTTGTTCTAGAGATAGTTGTTCAAGAGGATGGTTTATATATTTTATATTTTATATATAAACCATCCTCTTGAACAACTATCTCTATTGGTAAAAACCGCATTTAAATCAACATGGCAAGAAGTGTCGGCAAATAGTCTTGTTACACATCTTTCGGTTTTGCTCCCATCCGCTCAGAACGCGCGATAAGCAACTTCGTTCAAAAAAAAATTGTTATTAATTTGAACGTTTTTTTATGGTAAAAGTGTGAATGAGCGGACGGGTCACCTGATGGTAAGTGACTTCCGCCGCCCATGGACACCTGCGGCTCAAGAGTCACAAGCGCGATGTCGCCCTTTGTGTTTCTCCCCAGGGTCAGGGGAGAGGTAGTTTAGGCTCTGGTAACCTCTCTCACTCAGTGAAAAGCAACGAAAGAACTACATAACACTGACTTTCCACTCCGGTGGGGCCGAAGCATGGCACTCCCACGGTAATGTTTTAAAAACTTAGTTACAGGTAGTCGTTGCGATGTAGTGACGACGTCTAAGACAATAAGCTTTCAAACATCAGTTTCTACTGCACTGAACTGATTTTTGAACACATGATGTGTGAGTATAATCTTGGAGCTTGAACCTCGCGTGATAGCGCGGACTGACATTTGGATTTATTAGATACATGCATATTATACGAATTTAGCTTTTGTGCATTTAAAAAGTCTATATATAGTAGTTTTGTCTCTTGCGATTTTTGCCTATGACAATTTAAAAAGTAAGATGAATGATTCGGAGTACCAAGCTCATTAAGTACATAGTTGATCTAACAACACAACTTGTAATACGTTGTAATAGAATATGTACTATGATCTAAATAATAATTAAACGTCTCTAAAATCTATATTATCTAACTAAATTGTAATAAACTTTATTTTTTAATTTTGCACCGTTAGAGGTAGTATTTTTTTCTTTTACGTAAAGAAGTTCATAAAAAAAGGAAATGGTTAACATAAAAATTGGTGTAATCTTTATATCTGTTCGGTGCGGATGCTAAAAAGAGACATGAAATTATTTTGATGTGACCGTGTGCATCTAATTGGTTTAAATCCTGTTGTATGCTGTAATGTCACCTATTAGTCAGATGATCACAGTATTTTATGAGCAAAACTTGTTTAGTTTTGTATTACGCAATTCAATTAAGAAATTAAACTGTTTCTACTATGTACATATTATAATGTATATTCTAACCTATTACATTTGACTTTCAGTTGACATTTATTTGACCTTTATCCAGTCGCTGTCAATGATCGTACGCTTATATAAAAGTTGTTTTCCTTAAATGATCCCGATGCAACCTTACTTCATTATTGATAATATTGAGAGAGGCAACATTTTCGTATTAATATTTATATTAATATTTTAGAAAATTCTTTAAACTGTGTTTGGCAATTAATTTTGATATACAGTACTGTATATTTATAAAGTTTTACGAAACGTTATTTATTAGTGATTAAACATACACACTTTGACGACATTTGTTGCATAACACCGCAGTAGAGTTTCTATTTAAACTAAGCATGATATTGGTTCTACTTGTATGTATTTTGTTCTTAGTATTCTTATGATATGTTAAAAAGTGTGATATGTATATTTCTTAAATATTAAATAACATTTTCAATTGTCAAGTAATAATAATATGACAAGGTCATATTATGGTCGAGTCCACAACCCTTAAGTTTTACTACTTAGACAATTCCTTATAAACTATATTCTTTTTTCACAACCAATCTTCAATCTTATTAACTTATTACATAATTCCTAAATGGTTTCAGTTTTTATAACGGAGTATAAAGCAACTTATGTATTTCATAAAAAAAGGTTACAAAGCATTTTTATATCCAATGAGATATATACACAATTTGAAATTTTCGTTTACACTTTATGCTTTTAACACTAAACAAAGTCATAACTCAAACTCAAAATTTCAAAGACCATAATTCAATACCCAAAAATACATTAAGTCGATTGCAAAGGTCATCGACCTCATGATGTTGTCCAATCTAAACTCATTCTGGTTTTTTTAATGGCCTCGAAATGCATTCACCTTGTAAACTGGAAGACCTCAGGTTACCACGGAATGTACTTAGGGTACGTGAAAGACAGACCTTGAAAAATTGTTGGTCGACACGAAATTCAGTCGAGCATTTTTAAACCTTGTTTAAACATTTTGCGTAGAACCCTAACGTCATCAATCTATAAAACAAAGCTTTTATTACTATTTTGGTTTAATACCCAGTAAGAAAATCTGCGGTTGAGTTCTTCCACCTAGAACAATTAGGATGCTGAGGTAAGGGAATTTATTAAGCGAAAACAATGATTAAAGGTGGTAAAAGTACTGTGTAAAATAAATCATTGATGATATAAATACTAACTAATCGTATCGTATGATATAAGAATAACTATCCGTGTGGTGACGGATTAAGAATACAAATTGTCACCACCCCAATTCATCCTGTGGGTGTCGTAAGAGCCGACTAAGGGAGCAAACTAAGCAGGACAACAGCACTGCAAAGAGAAGGAAAACTTGAAACAAACCCTATACCAACCCGTCTGGCCAGCGTGGTATAGTAGGCCAAAACCTCCTTTCTAAGGAGAGGCCTATGTCCAGCAGTGGACTAGTATAGGCTGTCGATGAAATGATGATGATATAAATAATAACAATATGTATACAGTATATACAATACGTATACAGAGTCCTTAAAAGGCACATAAAAGTTTGTCTTCCTAAGATGGTTTTGAACTA